TTTGGGAATGGCCTAAAGACACTTCAGTCAGTGGCACCGCCGCAGGGGGTAGTTTGAGTCTGATGACTAAAACATTTATGTCTTCAAAGCAAATAATATCCGATTTAGTTATTGGTAGAAACAGAGAACAGAAATATGAGAGTATATATGAATATTTATTAAGTCTTCAAATTTATTTCAACAAAGAGTAAGTATTCTAAGTGTTGAATCAAGTTCATATAATCTAGAGGCCACTTTCAGATAATACAATACCTGCATATTTACTTTCATTAAAACAGAAAATACGTTCCATTTGACACATAGACAATAACAATGCAATGTTTAAGAATAATTAACAAATCTTGAGGGTCAAAAAGGCATTTGCGATACATGTAATTTCACTGTATAAATTAACAGAAACTGAAATCTTTAATATCAACACATCTTAATTTGTAAAACAAGCTGCAGAAATAATATAATAATACATGTACTACTGTATATGGACAAAAGAAATTTGGAAAGAGAAGAGTGGATAAAAGAACATAGAATAAACCAAAGCGAGATAATAAGACCAGAATTGAAGAGTCTTTAGAGTAAAGCAACACTTCTCTAAATCCATGTTTACTCTAACAAAAGAAATATATATACATAATAATGATGTAATCTGAGATGTAAAGTTAAGAGCGAGTTTCCACACATATCTGCAGCACACTATTGTTGAATGGAACCCATCTATACTGGTTATTTGATGACCCAGTTCATCTATCACTGAAAAAGTTATAGTCCCTGTAAGTAAAGCAGAGAAGGGCTGCCAAATTATTTATTTCTGTCCAACTTACCAACTAGCAAATCACTACAGATAGGGGATTAAGAGTTTTGCTCATTAAAGGAGTTCCTTGTATGTGTTTTGGACCCCCTATTGACATTTCTTTTTCTTTGCCTCCCCCCCCCCCCCCAGATCTGCTGGTTCTTCAACCCGGCAGTGCAATTGATTTCTTATGTATGTGACCGTGTTTCGTTCTTTAGCCTTGTGGGGCCCCTTGCCATCAGGCAACTACATTCCGATTTCAAAGGTACTCTGTAACGTTTTTACACTACTGACTACAGTATTTTCAGCTTTGATAAGAATTTTGAATTTTTCCCGGGTAGCGGCTAAAGACTGCTCTTTTCGATTTATGAACCACCAAGGGATCTTTCACATGTGCAACTGACTCCCAGAACTCTGGGATTTTTCGCCCTTCCCTAAGAAGGCTAGCCTACCCTAAGATCAGGGGAGTGGCTGAAAGACATCTGTAAGAAAGAACCAGGAGAACAGTAGAAAGAATCAAGAGTAAAGGGAAGAGAAGCCCTGAAGAGACCGGAAGTTGGGTAGAGTGTGTGTGTGGGGGGGGGGCGTCAAGGGAGGAGTAATTGGAGATGAAAGCAGGTGACAGAACATGATTAGAGAACCAGGAAGAAGTAGAAAGGAAACAATTTTAGAGAATAAAATTCTGTTGTTGTCAGGTTTTGAACCTGAGACCTATAGAATGAGAGAAAAACACTGTACCTCTGGACCACAAGAGCCCCCTCCCCACTGATACAAATTAGAAATATATAGATCATTAAGGAGATGAGTTATCAGGGCCAACTCGGGCTGAGTGGGATACAGCGTCTCTATAAAAACTCCTCCACTTGGGAATCAGACACACATCTTTTGTATGCAACGGCAAACAACCTAACCTGTGCACCACAGACACCTATAAAGAATTTTGCTGCTCAGCAACATTTTTCAACATTTCAAAGGTCAAGCAACATTCAGCCATGGATTTGACAACATACCTTCAAAAGCAATTTACTTGCAGTATCCTCTTTATTCATTTAGCCTAAGTAATTGGTAAAAACAGACACCTTTCTCCTGCTCAAAAACATTCTTATGACAGTTAGTTGCAAGATGAGAAAAGAGAGGAACAAAATGTGTCAGACTTTTACGTAGATTGAGAAGAAAAAAAAACAACAAAGTGTACCACCATCAAGACAAAACAATTGACCATTTCCAAAAAAAATCAAACAATATTTTTATAAACGGTACATACATAGACAGCCTTAGAGAAAACAAAGAAGCTGAATTTGTATGGAAAAACACATAAAATATACCAGGCCCATAAAGTATACCAGGCAACAAAGCATAGGCATGAATTTAGCGATAAATGTCATGATGTGGAGAAATCAGGTGCTCATCAATTTTTGGCCATACAGAGTTATTGGTATCATATTAAAGCTTTTTCATTTGTCTTGCTGTTAATTTTTAAAAAAACAATTTATATATCTTGAATGGAGATCCAGACATTTGCAATTGAAAGAGGTGGGTGTCTTCTGGAGTCAAAGAAAAAAATAGCGAGAAAATGGTCACCACAGTGTGGTGACTTCCAAAGCTTGAGCGTCTTTGAAAACTGCAAATTTACATGTTTTGTGCCTTTGATCAACGTGTTTCAGTAAAATGCTCACAGAAATGTGTTTTATATAGACATAAAAGGTGTTAACATCACCCCCCCCCCTAAAAAAAAATTTAAAAATAAAAATTTTTTTAAAACATTGCCCAACAGCTTGAAAAATACTGGTTTCTTTGAATTCATTATTTTGATGAACACCTGATTTCACCACGATGCCTCACATATACATGATGTATTATGCTCGAGTTTAAATCTGTCAATGACCCTGATACAGTCAAAAAAGTTGTTGTTTCACTCATTTTTTAATCACTGTGTATCAACTAAAAACGCAAAAATTGAATACATACAGTCATCTGGCACTTCCTTTCTCACTACTGTATTTCATGAGGAAACAGAACAAACCCGTTTTTAACACTCTACATCACAGTTTGGGAGTCAACAAAAAGTACATCAACATAACAATGGTTATTTGTCCTCGTAAAAAGTGATCAGACAAACTCCATGAAGGGAGAGCAAAGAAGAAAGACTGGCCAGCGGTACCCTCCCAGCATTCCTGCTCAAACATAATTTATACAAATAAGAAAAACAGACACAGGAAAAAAACAAATCATTTGGCGATTTATGAGTGACAGAAGTCTTGAGTACACATCTTTTTAAAGGGAATATAAGACATAAACTTCAGATTAATAATGTGATTCACGGCCATCTCACAAAGGATTTCCCCCCAAACCCTCAACAATCCTATCACACACACACACACACAAACACCCTCGCACAAACACACACACACACACACACACACACACACACACACACACACACACACACAGAACAAGCCTAACAGATTTGCAATTGGTGAAAACCCATCCACTAAGCCTGTGATGAATGGAATAGAAGATTCTAAAACACTAATGACATTACAACCTTTCCTTGACTTCAGCTCTTCAAAGAGCACAAACAAGTTGTCAAGACAAATCAAAGTTAGTAGGTTCAGTGGCGTCCATCTAACACTAACAGCAACTCTCATGCGAATAAATAGTGAAAGATTTTGTGAGTATGTTAGTGTTTAGCACCTATAAAAAATGGCAGCTTTCATCGCATGCTTTCAAGGAAGTTAAAATTGTTTCAGAATGTTAAGCGGTCTGTTGGAGTTATAAGATTGTAAAGTGCATAGAGCTTGCTGTTGAACGGGATTTTGTGCTATACAAATGCTGTCTATTATCATTATTACATTATTATTATTAATTATCATTCTTCTTCTTCTTCCTCTTAATAACTTCGGTTTCTGTTAGACAAAGGCCACTGTCTATTGAATTTTTACTCCCAATATGTTTTTAATTTGCAAAAAATAATAGAAAGTATAACAGTTATTCACATAAATTGACTTTCATTTCCAGTAGATCTAACCTTTTAATCAAGGGCATTAAAGATACATCCTCAATTATTCCAAGCTCATCGCTTCCACAGTGAAATAAACAAAAAACCAGAAAAAACAAAAAAAAGCACTTCCAGCATTTCAAAGAGGACTTACAGACAAGCATTAAAAAAATATTGGTAAATACTCTCTCTCTCTCTCTCTCTCTCTCTCTCTCTCTCTCTCTCTCTCTCTCTCGCTCTCGCTCTCTCTCTCTTGAAAAGGTAAATATAATTTCAAAAATTCCTATAAACAATGTACACAGGTAAATAAATGACTCTTGAATAACAAAGATTTCTCAACAAATATAAACTGTTCGTGCTATTATTAAAAAAAGAATATCAATACGATGAAAGCAGGAATCACTTGTTACTTATTATGCTCTCACATTTCCGGGCACTATTGAAGAATGCACAGTGCAACAAATGGTTTTCATCTGCCAAGGATTTTCAGTTACCTTGTTTTTTCTTTCCCTTTTGCTGTCTCATTCCAGATCTCCAAAGAGTCTAACAGCTCAGAAGGTAATCATTGATTGATTTATTGATTGATTGATTTATTAGAATTGGTATTAATTTAATATTCTAGCCCCATAGCTAAAATTGGTGAGCAACCTCAATTTTCATTTTCATCCGTCAAAACATTTTTAACAGGTGAAAAGAGAACAAAAAGCACTAGTAAGTTTTAAGCCTGTTTCTATGAAGACTAGCAGAACAAGTCCAATTCTTGGGTCAAAAGTGTCAGAAACCTGGTGTATGTCAAAGTGATAAGCAACTACCTTAACCGTGGACTAATGCTTATATTTCCAAAACATGTGATGTGAACCAATGTAGAAGGCTTCAAGTTTTTGTTAACTTTTTCCTACTACATTCCTTGATTTTCCTTCTTCACCTCCATTTTCTGAGTATTTCACTGTTCAACTGTTCAATTTTCCTGATTATTTCAGTTATTACTTCAGATATTTCTAAATGAACATAGGAACAAAAATGTGACAACCAACACTAGACGTAAATTGTTCGAATCTTAAAACTTTCCAGTGACCTGTAACAGATTTTCTCATTGCTTAAAAAAAATTTATCCTTTGCAGCTTTCTGAGCTTCTACTCATTTATCTCCATAAAGTATTCAAATTACAATCATTTAACTTAATTAACTGAAGCCTGTAGCCAGGGAAGCTAGGCAGGTGGTCACTGTGGGAACCTAACAAATAGCAAAAAAAGAATTTGATACATATAATATTGTGGTGATATCTAATTTCTCCTGTTGCGTCTCTGTTCACCCATCTCGTCTGTCATGGTGTTTGTGAGTGTTGCTCAGTGTGCCGTGTTGCTGTGTAGTATCCAGAGTCCGTCCACTTGTCTATTATCACCAGTCTCTGTCTGCCACTTGGACAAGTAGTGCGTTTTTTGTTTAATAAAGCCAAGCTTTTAAATATGGCTCATTCGTCTAGCTTTTTGGAAATTGTCTATAAATGTATATACAGCACAGGACCTGGGACGCTGTATAACTTTAAATGTTTGACCTGTAGCTCACCCCCAAAAAACATCAAAACCTGGAGAGGACATCACGGTCATCAACAAACTTTCCGTTTTGGTTTCTTATTGCATGAGCTCCAGGGATGGCACACCCATTCATGACCACATAGACTCCGGGTGCAGAAGAGGCTTGCAGAAATCCCAAAGCAAAGCCAACATTGAAATCTGCATCTGTGTCTTTCATGCATTCCGGCTTGAACGCCCCAGTTATAGCCACGACCTAAAAAACATTCACAAGGCAAAATTTTGGGAACATTAGAAAAATATGTTATAACATAAGAATATGTTATAAACATTAAAACTTGTTTAAAAAAACCAACAACAACAACAAAAACAGTCAAAAACTGAATTCACAACCTGCTAATGAGAATAATATATTTGAAAGTGTAATAACTGTCCAAGATTCTGCCACACTCAGACACACAAATGTCCAAACCCAAGTACACACAAGTATAAAACACACATTTTTCACGCAATTATCAATAATTCTGATGATATCGACTTTTTTGTCACTTTTTAAAAGACACTGCACACTCTTCAGCCTGCAAAATTCACATGAAGATTGCAGTCAATATTTCTAAGGATACGACGGAGCCAGATTTTATTGATCTTTACAGAAATAATAAAATTGTAAATAATTTATCGCTATGTAAAGTAAAATTGTTCCTGCATCCGATCCGGACATTGGGGATTGCATTGTTAGTGAGACAACTTCCTGGGCCTTTGGCATATTGTGGTAGGGTGGCCAGTTCCTTTCCACGCCACCTTTACTTCCCCAACTCAAAGTCAGGTACCCATTACTGCTGGGTGGGCAGGAGGGGGCGAAAAAAATCTGTGTCCGAATCGAGGTTCAAACCTGGACTTTCCGCTTCGAAGACGAGTGCACTAACCGCTCCGCCACCGCACCCTCTTATTGCTATGTATCATTATGAAATACTCCAGAGTTGAGCCATTTCCACTCTTTTATTCTGGCCCCAAAGCTGCATGGATCAACGCAAATCAAGTATGTATCAGTGAGACAGCATTTAGGAAGGGGGGGGGGGGTCACTGAGGTGTGTCCTTGAACAAAATATGATAACTACAGCTCAAAAAATAGGGTGCAGTGCAGTGCCGACCAGCAATGACATAATGATTGTCTGTGATATTCATGAATGAATATGTGTATAAGTGTATTAATGTATGCCACTGTAAAGCAAATTTCCCAAAGTGATCAATTAAGTGGAATTTATTTTCATCTTTAATTTTACTAAGCAGATATATTCCAAAGAAGTGACAGCAAGACTCTCGTTAACTAGTAGCCAATGTAGTGGTGATTGAAAGCAATATTTTTGTCTAAGCACTACTATGTTCTTGTGCTGAAGGGTTGGGGTTAGCTAGTGCATGTTACAAGGACAATGCCAAACACACAAAGAAATGTGTATTGAAAACCTAATAATAATAATAGATAGCATTTGTATAGCGCATATCCCCGCTCAACAGCAGGCTCTATACGTTTTACACTATATTATTACCCCAGCAGACCATAGAACACTCCGAAACATTCTCAGCTTCCCGGGAAGCATACAGTGCAAGCAGCCGATTAAGCGCTCAAACACTAACAATCTGACAAGATCTTTCGCTGTCTATAGCCGGGTACCCATTCCCACCTGGGTGAAGTGAGGAAAATTCGTGTAAAGTGCCTTTCCCAAGGACACAACGTCAGGCCCTTGACGGGATTCGAACCCACGACCTTACGGTTGCGAGACCGAGAGCCTAACCACTAGGCCACCGACGCCACACCTATATGAAACAATCTGTATGAACTAGACTGCACATCAAAATAAGCTTAGATTAAGATGTAACTTACATTTACAGCTGGTTGGCACTATTCCAACCACATTTTTCAAAGGAATAGAGGACAATACAAGTAGCATTTTAGAGAGAGCGCCCAAAATTGTGATTATAAAGAAAAAAGCTTTAATTCTATGTCCACATTTTAGGACAAGATTGAGGAAAAAAACCAAAAAAAAACCTTCTCACAAAATTATACAGAATTTTGAAAACATGAAAAGAAATTCTATGTCCACATTTTAGGACAAGATTGAGAAAAAAAACAACAAACAAATCTTCTCACAAAATTATACAGAATTTTGAAAACATGAAAAGAAATTCTATGTCCACATTTTAGGACAAGATTGAGAAAAAAAACAACAAACAAACCCTCTCACAAAATTATACAGAATTTTGAAAACATGAAAAGAGTATTGGTGCGGTAGCTCAGCTGGAAAAAACATTTGACTTAAGACTAGGTGATCCAATCATAAATACCCAAGGCAAGGTTTCTGAGCCTTCTTCTTGTACAGGACAGCTTTACTTTAGACACTTCCTGCAATCATGCACTAAATAAAACTGTATGGTGCCAAAAGGGGAAATAAAAGTTACTCTGAAATTAAGAATGTGTCAACCTGTAACCAACTTTTCTCAAAATACAATACATGTAAAGAAATCAAATAAACGCTAACAGGAGGCAGGAAATGCAAAGGTGTGGTCTACTTCCCCTTCTTTTCAGTTATTTTAATAATAATTTTTGTTCTTTGCAAAATGGGGCCACTATCATGTTGATTCCCAATAAACTACAATTCAGCAACAACAACAGCAATGACAACAGCAACAACAACAACAACAATAGCAACAAAAACAACCCACTTTTTCTCCAACTCCAGGTCCAAAATTAGAGCCTTGGCCAACTCCAGCTCGCACTAAGTAGCGTGCCGTCTCACACATAGTGTCTGTTCCATGCGTGATCAGAATAAGTTGCTGATCCCCTTCTACGACAAAGCGCAAAATGTCTTCCCTGAAATTGGAAAGGTATGCTGTTATACAAAGACTCATAATGTAGCAACAACAACAACCATTGTTGGTCACCCAGCACTGTTCACATACAAATATTTGCAGCTGAAAGGACAGTGGAAAAGCACAATTACACTTTTGTTACTTTGCTCAGAACAGTGTAAGTGTAAGCTCTCAGAGAAAATTATAAAATAAGTTTGGTAGTGAAAAGATGAAGGACTATGGTTCTCGTCGATTGTGACCTGGACAAAACATGTGTGATTTAAAGGAGTTATCTTGGATAGTGAGCCATCATCATATGAGAGCAGACTTGTACAGTGCACTAGTACCAACTTGTTCCAGAGTGACCTAATTTATTGAAATATGGAAAAAAGGAAGGAAAAAAAAACTTAGTACTACACCAGTATTTTACCATTAGTTATTCAAGAGTCAAACTCTAGCAAAGAGAAGAGGCATCATTAAGTATGCTATACTTATTATTGGTACCTGTCAGCATCAGTAATTTCTTGGCTGTCCTTTGTGCATACTGTTTCAAACAGGAAAGGAAATCCAGGCGAAATACGGGACATTATGTTTTCCATGGCAGGTTGTCCAATTTCAAAGCCATATGCACCAGGTTGTTGAGGGTAAATCTTGTCGATTGTACCTTCTCAGACAAAAAAAAAAAGAATGAATGAAAGTACACCAAATCACTAAATGTGTTTGTTATTTTCTATTTTAGTAAAGTTCTATGGCGCTCGAAACACAATAAGGTTTATATGAGTGCCGAAGATTAGAGGTGTTACAAGAGAGTAACAAACACAAAATAGAAGAAGGGTAGATAAGGACGATAGATGTTTGATAGGAAAGAAGGAACAAGCCACACCAGAGCACCCACCAACCATCCACTGTTTTCTTGCTTGAATTTATTCATCATATATAATATAAATTACCTGTATTACCTGTCCTGGGCAACAACATCATTGCACACCGGACAGGTCCATAAGTGCTCAGTTCCCCCCAGCACCAAAGCCCGCAAGGTATCCATACTGATTGTTCCGGTGGCTGTCTGATTATGGCGACGTCTTTCCTTTCCATTTCCAGATAATCGTTCCTTTCTTCCTTCTCCCCTCTCTATCCCCATTTCCCGCATCCTAATGATTGCGAGGTGTTCTGCTGTCTCCTTGTCTTCTTCATCCCGCAACTTTTTCTCCAGGGTCTTCAACACTTCTCCTTTGTCAAATTTCACCTCACCATCAACCACGAAACTGCCTGCCAGCCTATCAGCCTCCTCATTGCCTTTCACTTCAGAGTGCCCAGGACAGAAATCCACGTGATGGCTCTAAGTGATGAGAGTTGTATGGGGTTCATCCATTCACTCCGAAGAAGCCCTTTCTCAACCCTTCGCAAAATGCTCTGGGAGTCCGTGACAATGATGAGATGAGTTGTTCTTGGTCTTGTATTATGAAGCCATCCAAGCGCTCTTGTTACGGCCTCAATCTCCATTTTCATGCTTGAAGTTGTTCTTTCTATGGCCCCTGACATGCCATGAACCTTTTTGTTCCCACTGTACACCACAAAACCCCATCCACTTCTCTCCCCCCTCCTGACTGATCCATCCGTATAGATCACTGGGTCCTCTGGCTTGGAATGCTCCTCAATTAACTGTCGTATATCATTGTCGTTAATGACAGCAGCACATTCCCGTCTTTCACGACCAATAGTGATGTGAACGTTGGCCAGGCTTCTGCAATTGGGGCTCAGTTCAAACCATTCCTTTCCACAGCATATTTCATCGATGTATATATAAATGCACGTCAAAACTTTGGTATCTTTAGGTTCATATTAATCCATTTAGAAATAGAACTACTAATTACGCCAAATAAATACCTTATCATATAAGATCATGAGTTAATATTTTGGCGGCTGGTGCAAATTCGACAGGGGGAACGGGGCAAAACTTTGGTAAGGGGGTGGGTCAGTTTGGACTTGATTGGGTCAGATTCATATCAGGCCAAGCCAACATACCAGGCTAAAGTGCAAAATCACCTTACACAAATTTTCACGTTTCAGGTCTGTTTACATTATTTTCTATCTTGGGTCAAAATCCTTGACAGGTCAGATTCAAAGCATTAGAGCATAAATTTAGAACAGACTAGACTTCTCATCAGTCGTGTATTAGCTATGCCCTTTGGCTCCCATGTCCTGAGAAGTCACTAAACAAATACTGTCCCACACTATCAACTGCAGATTCCCACTGAGCATTTTTTCCCCGGCCATTTGCTGAGAAAAATGTGGAGATTGAGCTTCCCCAAAGGTTTCAGTCTCTGAAGTCCACCAAGATCATATCTGTGATTGTGGCAAAGGAGTCAATATAAGCCATTGACAATTTAGACTATTTAGGAAGCTGGCTGCTTCAACACAGCTCCTGACTTTGAAGATCTCAAGGAGGAGATATTATTATGTTCTTCCCACCGGAGCCTCATAGTGGACACTCCGCCAGTCTCCAGTGCACTGAGAGATAATATTATGTGATTCTTGACAAAGGCATTTTTAAGGCTGGCATTCAGGACTTCATGGGGCAAAACGTCTTACCTAACAAATCACCCAAGCCTTGGTAGTCCAACTAAATTAGTTCAGTGCATCACCAGCTTTCCTTAACCCAGCCATAGCAGTCTTACCTTCCACTGTATCCTGACAAGCCACATAACCAACTCTGGACCTACAGGCAATTAGGCCTTACAAAGGCCTTAGTACGGTAGGACTACTTAAGACATAGAATGGCTGCTTTACACTACTGGAGTAAGATGAATTTTTGGCGTGGTCTCAATTAATTTGACCATCAAAATCTCCACAAACCAACTTAAATAAATGAGAAAATTTGAGGGAAAGCACTCTCCTAAAACCCCCTATATAGAGCCAAGAATCTAATAGGTTGAAGGTCAAATTTGTCTTCATCATCATCCGGTGCCTTGACGACTGGCGTGGGCGATCATGGACCTCCACTTCCATCTGTCTTTCGAAGCAGCAATGGTGTCTGTTGTTCTTGCTGCTCCCAGCCATGTTGTCATCTTGTCCAGTATCTTTTCCCTCTGTCTGCCTCTACCTCTCTTTCCATCAAACTTTCCTGTTGTTACACTGTTCTCTAATGCTTCTTTCCGCATTGTGTGTCCGAAAAAATTTGCCTGTCGTTTTCTTATATTCGTGATAAGTTGTTTTCTATAATTTGCTTCAACCAGGACTTCTTCATTTGTTTTTCTAGCTGTCCATGGGATACGTAGCATGCGTCTCATGAACCACAACTCTGCCGCAACAATTGTTTTTTCCAGCTGTTTATTGATTGTCCATGCTTCGCACCCGTATAATAGGATTGGCTCGATGTAGCTTTTCATTACTCTTTTCCTCATTTCCAGTGACAGATTGATGTTTGTTAGTATCTGTTTCATCTTGTGGAAGGTTGCTTTTGCTTGGCAAATGCGGCTTTTAATTTCGGTGTGACATCTACCATCTGATGATATAATGGTCCCCAAATATCTAAAATGTTGTACTTGCTTGAGGGTGGTATCATTGATTTTGATATTGCATGTTGGGATTGGAGTATTTCTGCTTATCACCATCGTTTCGGTTTTCTTGATGTTTAGGTTTAAGCCCGTGTTGTCACTCTCTTGTACGATGACATTTAATAGATTCTGCAGGTGTTCTTCATCTTCTGCTATTAGGACTGTGTCATCTGCATATCTTAGATTGTTTATATTATGTCCCCCTATCGAGATACCAGGCATTTCTTCTATGTGTCTCATGATATTTTCACTATACAGGGAGAACAAGTCTGGAGAAAGTACACATCCTTGTCTGACTCCTCTTTTAATCTGTATGTACTCGCTGATGTCGTTTTCTATTCTCATTGCAGCCGTTTGATCCCAGTACATGTTTTTGATAATCCGTAAGTCCTTCCCGTCGATATTAAGAACTTCCAGCATGTCGATGATCTTGTCGTGCCTGATTTTGTCGAATGCCTTGGTGTAGTCTATAAAACATAAATGAAGATCTTTCTGAACTTCTAGGGCACGTTCTATTGTTGTTCTGATGACATATATGGCATTTACAGTGCCTTTGCCTTCAATAAATCCACATTGTTCTTGGGCTATTTCTGGGAGAATTGTATTTCTTATTCTCATCATAATTATTCTGAGTAATATTTTTGTTATGTGGCTCGTGAGGCTGATGGTACGATGTGTTTCACATTCGTTTGCATTGGGTTTCTTTGGTAAAGCTATGAAGATAGATTTTGACAAGTCTGATGGAATATGTCCAGTGGCATATATGTTGTTAAGAAGTTTTGTCAGCGTGGTGATTCCAAAGTCTTCTAAAGCTTTAATCATCTCTGTGGTGATGTTGTCCGGTCCTGCCGCTTTCCCATTCTTCATCTTTCGTAGTGCCTTGACAACTTCTTCTTTCATGATTGGTGGTCCCTCGTTGTTATTTTTCACTCTTCTTTGTTCATCTCTTTTGTCATTGTACAGGTCACCGATACATTCTGTCCAACGTTCTAGTATCTTGTCTTTGTCCATTATGATATTCCCATCCTTTGATTTGAGGCATCCTGTTGATCCACGTGTTCTTTAATTTTTCTGTGTAGATCTTTTGAGTTCGCATTGGAATGATTTTCCATTTCTTCACATTCTTCTTTTAACCAGGTCTCTTTTGCTAGATTACATTTGTGTCTGATTTCTTTATGAAGATTCATTCTTTATGAAGATTCATTGTCTTAATCATGCTAAAAAAACCCACGGGAAAATCACTGATTCATTATAACCAGAGGGGTAGGGGGGCAAGGCCCATGAAACCCCCAATTTTGAATATAAATAAATGATATCAAGGCTTTTCTGGTTGTCCTCATAATGAAGTGATTGTGAAGAAATATAATAAATATATACAGTTGAGAGTACAAAACGCAAGAATCCATGGCATCAACTGACAGAATATGTTGATTCAAAACAAGTGGGGAGAAGTTGCCAATACACAGTCAAAGGCGCAGGCTAATAATTTTTTTTAATGACCCCTGGCACAAGTGCATTACCTAAACCCTGATTAGTCTAGTACACAGAGTTCATAACACACAAAGGTAAATTTTTACTTTTACATCTGCACGCAGATGCACTGTTACGGGGGCTAAATTGCTGTAATTTTGGCTGCAGAAAACACATGGCCACTAAATCCTCGCACATCAATTATTTTCAGGAAAATATCAAACCTAATTGCAAAACATAAAATTGTTATGGTGAAATACAGGGATGCATGCCCCCTAAATCCTCCACATATTTTTAGGTCAGGGGGACATACCCCACTGAAACCCCACATGTTGTTAAAAACAAGTCAAATATTTCAACGCAATTCACCCTATTGTAATATAGTCTGTATAAAAATATGCAAACACACATCTCATTAACTAATCATTTGCGGTGGATATAAAGTCAAAATTCGTGTAAAGCAGATAAAAATGAACAATTAAAAGAAGAGTGCTTGAGAATACTGAGCGTGGGATGGATCCATGAGTAAAATAATATATCCAAACAAACTATACAGAGGTGCTTTTAACTCTTTTCCGACGAAGTTTTTTAGGGGTTTAGACATAATTAACTTTTGGTTGAATTTAGCTTTACAGGT